CCGAGGCGCGCCCAAACCTCCGCGTCTTCGTTCCACTCGTACGCGCGAACCACCCCGCCGGTCGACGTCTCGTTCATCGCCGCGATCGCCAGCCGCCTCCCGCGCCCGTCGATCGCGACTGCGAATCCAAAGCGATCGCCTTCGTGCGTGCCCACGATGTCGTCGCCCATTTGAACGTACTCGGCGCCGTGCCGATGATACGCGCGAACGTATCCGACGCCGACGCCGTCCGCGCCACTCGCGCCGACGACGACGACGCTCCCGTCGTTCGAAACCGAGCTCGACGTCCCGAACGCGTCGCTCGCATCGGCGACGACGCCCGCGCTCGCGTTCGACCAGTATAACGTCTCGTTGCATTTCGATTCGCAGTAGGTTTCGATCCCCAAGAAAGGGTCGTCGCCGGGGGCGTTGACCGACCCGGGAGGGCACGCGACGCACGTTCCCTCGGCGTCGACGCGTTCGTCCTCGGCGCACATCGGCGGGGACGCTGGGAACTCCTGCGCGGTCTCGTTGCTCATGCACGGAAACCCGGACGTGTTCATGGATAACCAGTGATACGGATACGTGCACGATTCCTGGGTGTAGTTGTACGAGACGCAGTCGCGCGACGTCGCGTTGACTTCCGTACCGGTAAACGTCGATCCCTCGCCGAAGACGGGTTGGACGGATTCGCGGCAGATGAACCCGGGTTCGCAATACGCGCACACGTCCGCGGGCGGCTCGTTCAAATCGAGATAGGACATCATCTCCTCGGGGGTCGTCCCGTAGAAGACCACGCAGCATTCACCCTCGGTCAAGTTGCCGGCTGTCGCGTCATCGTGCGTGCTGTCGTTAATGCTGCTGTCGTGCGTGTGCGAGCAGGTGTCCTTCGTCATGTTGGCGACCTCGGTCACCTGACCCGTCACCGCGAGCGCGAACGGCTGCGCCACCTGCACCCTCGTGGGTTTGACGTTTATCCAGTAGCGTCCAACCTCCGGTTTGCTCCATATCACCCTCTCGACGTTGTTGTAATAGTCGCCGTTGAAGTGGAACTCACCGTCGAGATCATCACCGGAGAGTGGCCATAGCACGTCCCCGCCTTTGATGAGTTGAAGGTCCAGATTGTTCACCAGCGCACCTTCGGCAGCCGTAGACCCGGGATAGTCGGTCCACACGAGCGTGGCTCGCAGATCCTCGATCGATCCGTCCACGTCGACGCACAGCCCGCGTTCGCTGCTTTCCGTTATTTTATCGTCGACGTCGTCCACGATGATGAGGTTCGTCGGGGTGTTTTCGGCTGAGACGTCCACGTCAACCGACGACGGCAAAGGCACGGATGCAGCGAGCTCGATACGTCCCCAACCTTGCTTTAACGAGGGCGGCGGGTCGATCGGCCACCCGTCCGACTCGAAACCTTTGAGAGCCTGAGCGCCGTTGATCATCACAGCCTTGAGCAGCGCGGCGGAGGGGTTGAACCCGTCGGCTGAGGTTTTCTCGCCGGATGGGTAGAAGCCCTCCGTGAAGTATTGCCTGAGCAGCGTGACCGCGCCCGCGGCGATGGGAGTCGCCATGGAGGTACCGTCCTTGTCGACCTTACCGCACGTGTCGCCGGCGGCCACCTCCGCATCCGTCAGAACGTCCGCAGAGTAGATGCTGTCACCAGGGGCCACCAAGTCGGGCTTGATTCGCCAATCGTAGGTGGGACCCAAGGAGCTGAACGAAGCCATGTTGTCGAAATTGTTCGTCGGGGGTAGGATCGGACCGGAGATCCCGAGTGTCACGCCCTCGCCTCTCTGCGCCACGAGCTGCTTCAGGAGTTCGCCTTCCTTTCCAGGAACGACGATGATCGGAATTGTCCATCCCGTCGTAGAGCCGAAGTTGCCGTAGACTTGAAATCTCTCACCGGTGTACCGGTCCAAAGTATACATTATGATACCGACGGCGCCCGCTGTGACCATCTCCTGCAAAAAATTGAGTCCGAGGCAGTCACTCCAACGGAAGATCACAACCTTGCCACTCATCTGGGCTGTGTTGGTGATTGCGCCGCATAGATCCACAGGATTCGCGACGACCGCCGCAGACGGCGCGAGTGAATGGCTCCCGCCCGCCGGTTCCGTGATCGAGACGTCCGCCCTGAGACCGCGGATGAGGGCATTGCTCCAGTGCACGCCCTCGGAGCCGTCGATGTCGACCTGCCACGTCCAATCGGTTTTACTGTCCCAGTAGCTGCCGAGCTTATTCGCTAACTCTGAGTTATCGATTGGTTCCGAGTTATCGGACAGCGCGGCGCCGACGGAGATGCAATTCTTCGCGTTGGTTGGATTGCCGAGAGTGCCCCTGCCGTCGGTGTACGTGTGCTGGGTTCCGTTCGCATCCATGGGAGAATCGGCTTCTGCATCTTCACCCGCGTTTCCAGCTGCGAACATTGGCAGAAAGTTGAGGTTGTTCCAAGCGTAGGTGTCAACCTGGTTCACCTGGACGTCGTAAGCTGGGGTGCTGCCGCCCCAGCTGTCAGAGTGTATGTAAGCCCCCGCAGCCTTGGCGTGGTCGTACATGTCCAGACCCATGTCATCGGGGGTCTCCAGAAGCTCCTTCTCGAATCCATAAGGAAAAAGTTCCTGATGGTTTGCGTTGTCGCTGCACTTCGTGTCAGTCGTGCATTTCCAAGCGAAGGATGCATCATAGCACATAAACTTGTTCTCGTTCGTCTCCCGATCGTGTGCGCACTCGTAGTAATTATTCGGATCAGAATCGGCGCAGCAGTAGTTCCACAAAACGCCGCCGGGGTTCCAATCCGTCATCCCCTCTTCGGCGCAGGTTCGATCATATTTGGTGCACGTCATGTTGCCGGAGGTATCTCTGCAAGCGTATAATTGGTCCCAATTGATTCCATTGACGTCCATTGCTTCCCCGTTCGGAAACGTGCCAAAATATCGGTAATCAAAGTTTACATACGCATCATCGGGCGTGCACGTATCAGCATCAGGGCAGTAGCATATTCTGGTCGCATTGACTTGGTAACCCATGTCCGTGAACGCCACCGAAGCGCCCTTGGCGACGCCGTCGTATTGTGACCCGGATCCGTCATCCGTCAGGCTGCCCAGAATCGACCCCACGACGTGCGTGCCGTGACCGCTGTGGTCCGCGTAGTCGCCCGTCGTCGACCGCTTCATCGCAACCTTACCCGGCGCGCTGAACGCGCAGTGTCTGTCGTCCAAACCGCTGTCGCCCGACCCGACGACCTGGCCCGTTCCGTTGATGCCCGCGTCGTAAAAAGGGGTCTTGGTGTTGACGCCCGCGAGCTCGCCGCCCTGGACAACCTCCGTCGCCTCGTAGTTCAACAGCGACCTACGTTTCTTCAGAAGTGTCTTCTTCACGTCGAGTGGAGGCAGCCTGGATGTGCTCTGGACCGCGGGCTTGGGTGACACGCGGTGCACGGCTCGGCGTTTGGAGAGCCACTCGATCGTCCGCGGCAGCGATTGGACTCGAACGCGAACCAGAACGAAACGGCCGCCTCTGGACACCGCGACGGACGCCATCGGGTCACCCGAAGCCTCCACGACGTCCGCCCCGATACGACCCGCGAGCGCGTCCACGAGCTCGCGCGTCGCGTCGACGTCGTCGGCCTCGAGCGGAGGGACGAACACCTGGACGGATACCGACCCGCCGAAAGTCTCAACGTGTGCGAGCGCCCGTTTCATCGACGGCTGGTCACCCGCGTGAATCGCGGCGAGGATGGGATCCCACTCGCTCGCGACCGTATCCTCTGGGCGCAGAGGCCCGACCCACGCGACGCCCGGGACCGCGGCGGCGGCTCGCGCGGCGTCAGGGCCGCCGATGGCGATCCACGATTGACCTGGGACGACCTCGCCGAGGGAGCCCCCGTTGGCGACCAGCGACGCCCTCAGGTCGTCGGCGATACCCTCGCGCCCGTTCGTGACGACGAGGAGCTGCGACGACGACGTGGCGTTCGCGTCGGCGCCGAGATCCTCCGGCTTGGACCACGCGACGTCGACGGAATCGTCGTCGTCGTCGTCGTCGAGGAGCTTCCATCTCGGGTCGGGTTTCTTCGAGTCGTTCGAGCCGACGGGCGGGCGGTCGTCGCCGGCGGCTCGCGTGGACGCGCGCTGGGTCGACGACGCGACGCGCGCGGGCCGGGGGGAGGTGAGATGCGGCTTGGTGCCGTTCGCCTCGGCGGCGAGTTCATCCTCAGCGTCCACGACGCGCCGTCCGAGGCGCGCGACGCCAACCCCGTTCAATCCGCGCCGACTCGCGCGACGCGCGCGCGATGCGGAAAGCGGGACCCGCGCGCCCCCCTGAACGAAGTAGCCTCGATCCTGATCCGCGCGCGCGACGTTCGACGCGGCGCACGCGCACGCGAGGAGAAGCGCGAGCGAGGCGGCGAAGCCGACGCGCGGTCGCCGTCGCCATCGCGCGCGCGCCGTCGTCGCCGTCGTCGCCGTCGTCGTCATCGCCGCGAGGGAGGAGGTCTCGAGCGGACGCCTGGGAGAGGGAGAACGGCGCGTGAGAAGGACGCGAGTCGTCGCGCTTCGGAGCGGGGGACGGACCGGGGACGTCTCGCGCGCGCGACGCGAGCGGCGGCGGCGGCGGCGGATCGCGGATCGCGGGGTGGACCGCGACGCGTCGCGCCGCGCCGCGTCCGAGACGAAGTCCAGACGACGGCGCGCGCGGGTCGGGGGCGACGACGCGACGCCGGTCGAAGGCGCGGAATCCGCCCCCGCCCCGGACGAGGAAACTGAAAGAGACGAACGACGCGCGCGCGCGAGCGCGCGCGCGGCGAGCGCGAGCGCGGCGCGCACCTCGAGAGCCGTCCCCGCGCGCGGGGCTCGGAAACAGAGCGCGGGCGCGTGATCTCGCGCCCGCGGGACCGCTCGCGTCGCGCGTCCGCGGAATGACCGCCGTTGCTGAACGTTGCTCGCGCATCACGCGCGCGAGACGCGGCCTCTTCGAAGCGGTGCGCCAGCTGGACGGCTGCGCGGTGTGTCATCATTCATCGCGGTGAACGGTGTGAAAAAATCTTTAAAAGCGGCGCGTTTCGGTTTCGGTGTCGGTTTCGACGACTGCGCCGCGCGAGGCTCTACGACGCCCGACGTTCGACACGGCGCCGGACACGGCGTCCCGCGCCTCTCCTCCCCTCTCCTCTCCTCTCCTCTCCTCCTCGCTCACGTCCCGCACAACGACTCGCGACTGAACCCCTCGTTCAGGCCGCCGTCCTCCGCGCTGCGAGTTGGCGCGTATTTCGATTCGCATCGGTCAGTTTCATCGGAGCCGCGATCGAATTTGAAACCACAAAAAGCGGGGTGAGCGAAAGAAAGAAAGTTTATTTTCGCGCGGTCACATCAGAAGAGGACCTTATGTCGCACCTTATGATGAGCTCGACGAACACCGTCGCCGCGGAGAGCGACATGATCCCCGCGAGACACAGCACGATGATGGACGCGCCGTACCCGCGCTTCGCCATCTCCCTCTTCAAGACCTTATCGCTCATAACGCTTCCGATGAGCGTCAAGCAGCTGCGGGCCGCGCGAAAAAAGCGCGCGCGTCGCTTCGGTCAGTTGAAAGGCACCGACGCGATCGAATGCGAAGTTGAAACCGAGCGGTGGGTGGGTGAAAAACGCGCGCGCGCGGACGAAGAACGCGCCTGAACCATCCCGCGTGCGCGGGCAGCAGCTGTCCGAGAAGCGCGAACTGAATCACGCTCATGCTCGACGTGAACAACACCGCGAAGTGCGTGATCGGCGCGGAGACCTTCGGGGACATCCCGAGGTCTAAGAGCAGCGGGCCGAGGATCATTCCGCCGCCGATGCCGAGGAGGCCGCTCCCCATGCCCGCGCCGAAGGCCCACAGCGTCCACTTCGCGATGCCGTCCGTCGTCTCCATCCTCAAGGTCGTTCCATACAAAGCGACGTCGGGGTGGAGTTGAAAGGCGTCAGGTGGAGTTGAAAGGCGTCGAGGACGGGGATTGAAAGCGAGGGGTGGGCGGAGAGAGACGACGGCAAAAGTCCTTAAGGATCGGCGTTCACCACGCCAACGCGGTCGTATGGGAACCAGTGTATAGAACGCACCTCAAGTCTCCGGCGTCGTACGCGTATCCCACGCGGAGCCGCTCGGCGCAGTCCGCGTGGAGGTATAACCCGGCGAGGTAGGACGCGCACAGGCCGAGTGCGATCGGCGCCGCGACGAGCGCCCAGTACTCGTTCACGCACGGCGTGACGTTCGCCGGGGACGCGTCCGCGGCGGCGCCCTTCGCGGGGGGAGGGGGGGGGAGGCGCGCGACGGTCGGTCGCGACGGGTCGCGCGGTCGAATCGATCTTGAAACCGAACCGGGCGCGGGGTGACGACGCGGCGCGGCGATGCGGGACGAGGGAGATCGTCCTCGAGGAACGGCGTTCACCGCGCGGACGGGATCATCGCGCGGGGACGGGACCGGCGCGGAGAGAGACGACGGCAAAAGTCCTTAAGGATCGGCGTTCACCACGCCAACGCGGTCGTATGGGGACCAGTGTATAGAACGCACCTTCCCGCCGCGCAAAAACGCGAGGACGAACATGAGGCACCACAGAAGGAACAACGCGGCGACGATCTTGACGTCGACGCGCTTCTCTTTCTCGATGATCTGCGCGAGTTTGACCGCGTCCGGCGAGTCCGGGGAAGGCGGCGCCGGCGCGGTCGAGGAAGGCGACGCCGACGACGCCGCGCCTCGTTCTGCGGCGTCCGGCCCGGAGGACGATTTCGATTTCGATCCTCCTCCTCCTCCTCCTCCGCCGCCGCCGCCGATGTCGCCTATGCCCACGAACGCGGCCGAGTTCGTTTCCTCCTCCATCCGCTTCTTCCGCTTGATCTCCCCTTCCTTCCTCCACTCCCTCTTCCCCTTCTGAAACGTCTGCGTGGACGTGTACGTGAGAAGGCAGATCAACATCGCGCTGACGAGCCACTCGGGGAATAAGACGTTGAGCATGACCCCCGGGGTGGTCCCCGCGAGCGTCGCGGGGATGAGCAGCAACGCAGCGTTCGTGTCTAGAAGCGGGCGGTCCCTCGTCGGGTGGCGCTTCATGAGGTTGAAGAAGGTCGCCGGGATCGCGCCCGCGAGTATCATGCAGTTGGACACCGGTATCGCCCACTTCCCGGAGAGGCCGACGACGAGCATGAGGAGCGGGACGAAGACGCCGCCGCCGCCGACGCCGCCCGCGTTCGCGAGGATGGAGACGAAGAAGCACGCGACGGACGCGATCGCGATCGTGGCGTCCCAGTCCAGGGACGTGTTGTCCGCCTCGGAGCCCATGTCGGCGGCGGCGGCGACGGCGCGTTCGCGCTCGCTTTATCCGCGAGCGTCTCGGACCACGACGACCTGACTGATTCTTTTCCCCGACGCGCGTCCGTCGGACGGACGGGCGCCGACGGCGGCGCGCGGGGCGCGCGACGCGGAGCGCGCTCGCGCGGCGGCGGCGTCGACGCGGCGGACGCGAGCGACGCGAGCGACGGAGGGTCGCGCGAGGTGGTCGCTCGCGGCGGCGCGCCGTCGAGAGTGCGTCGCGGCGGCGAGCATCTTGGAACGTTTGTCACGTCGCGTCTGGTCGTGTCATCTCGCGCGAAAAAACGCGCGGCTGAGAAGCGCAGGGCGACGGACGGGAGCCGCGCGACGAGCGACGAGACGCGTCGGCGATGTGCTACCTACCTCTATCGCGCTGTTATTCATTCGCCCTAGTCGCGTCGTTCGCTCACGTCCCCTCGCGCGGCGTCCGCCCGCGGCGTCCCGCGCGCGCCCTCCCGTCCTCGTCGAAACCCGGCACGGGCGCGAAAAGATGCGCTCGCGAACGCCGCGCCGCCCCGCCTCCGCCGACGTCCTTCAACACGCCCACTTCGGCCTCGCCAGCGGCAGCTTACTCACGATCGCCGCGCTCGCCGCGCTCACCGCGGCGCTTCCGAACCCCCCCGCCTCGTCCAGCCTCTTCCTCGCCCCCGGCGCGCACCTCCGAAGCGCCCCCATCAGGAGCTTCCCGACCGCCGGCACCACCAGCAGCGCCTTCGCGAGCTCGAACGCGACGCCGGCGCTGACGTTCGCGCACATCGCGCGCATCAGCCCCCTGAACTCCTCCTCGCTGAGGCGCGCGTCGTCGTCGTGGTCGCTCTCGCGGAAGAGCTCCTCGAGCTGCGCCCTGGACGGCGGTCGCGCGCGTCGCCCGAGCGGCATGCGAGCGTTCAGCCTGTCGTAGAAGAGCATCACCGCGAGGCGGAGCTCGGCGACCGCGAGCGCGCCGTCGTCGTCGTGGTCGACGTCCGCGAACGTCTCGTCGCACATCGTATCGAAGCGATTCGTGTTCGCGACCTTCCCGAAGAGGAAGCCGGCGACGTCGAAGGACGGGAACCGCATCGCGAGCGGCGGCGGCGGCGCGCGCGGGACTGGCTGAGACGAACACTGCACGCTCTGGTGCCCGCTCGCTGGCCGCTCGCGCTCTCGCGCCAAAACGAGGAGCGACGATCGATCGGTCAACCATCGGAAGACGCGCGCGCGAGAGAGGCGGCGCGCGGGGTGGTACCGCTTCGTCGGGCGTCATGTCCGCGTGGGAGATGACCAAGGCGGCGCTGCGGAAGGTGTGCAAGGACAACAACGGGTACGCGTCGCGCGCCAACGTCGGCGTCGTCTCGCGCGCCGGCGTCGGATCGTCGCTCGGTCCGGTCACCGGTGCCGAGATTCTTTAATAAATATCACGCGACCCGCGCGTCGCGCGTCCGTCCCGTCCTCTCATCTTCGCCGCCCTCCTCGTCCTGATCCTCATCCTCATCATCCTCCTCATCCTCTCCCAGGTACGCGCACGCGCCGGAGCTCAACGACGTCCTCCATCTGCACTGCAAAGGGATCGCGGAGATCGAAAACCTGGAAGACTACGTCGGCCTCAAGGCGCTGTACCTCGAGTCCAACTCGATCGAATCCCTCCGCGGGCTTCTTCACCTCGCGAATCTCCGGTCGCTGTACATCGCGAAGAACTATCTCTGCGCGCTGCACGGCGCGACGTCGTTGACGTCGCTGACGACGCTCGACGTGAGCGACAACAAGATCCGGTCGTTCGAGGGTTTGCGAGGACACGCCGCGATCACCACGCTCATCGCGAGCGGCAACGCCGTCGCGGACGTCTCCGGGATCGAGCCGCTGGACGGCTGCGCGTCGCTCGTGACGATCGATCTGTCGAAGAACAAGCTGAGTGGCGCGGAGTGCGCGGACTTCTTTCTGGAGAAGTTCGCGGACCGCGCGAAGCTGTTGAAACTCCAGGGGAACCCGGTCGTGAGCGAGGTGCCGAGCTACCGGAAAAAGATGGTCTCCGGCTTGCGTGCGCTGAGGCGCGTCCTCGTCGTCACACCGGTGCCCATACGACCCCGTCCGCGTTGTGAACGCCGTTCCTCGAGGACGGGCTCACGCCCGCCGGCGTCGCGTGTCTCTCCGCCCAGGGTCCCGCGGATTCAATCCCGACGCGCGCGCCGCGACGCCTTTCAATCCCCGCCCTCGACGCCTTTCAACGCCACCTGACGCCTTTCAACTCCACCCCGACTCCGACTGACGCGCCCCCGAACGCCGCCCCGACGTCGCTTCGTACGGGCCAACACCCTCGACCCTCCTCACCAGCTACCTGGACGACATGCCGGTGTTCGCGAAAGATCGCCGGCTCGCGGAAGCGTACATGCGAGGCGGGATCGAAGAAGAGAAGCGCGAGAGGGCGAAGATATTCGAGGACGAGAGAGCGGAGAGAGAGCGGCACCGCGTCGCGTTCGACGACATGGTGGCGAAAGCGAAAGCGGACGCGGAGGAGAAGGCGGCGCGCGCGACGGAAGCCGGCGAACGTGATGGAGACGAAGACGGAAACGCGCGCGAGGCGGAGGCGGACGACGACCGGTACCGGTTCATGAGCGCGGAAGCGGAATCCGAGGCGCGGATGATGTACGAGGACGGCGTTCCGGAGTGGAAGATCGACGAGCTCAGGGACTTGGAGCAGCTGCCGTGGCAGAAGAAGAAGCTGGAGGAGAAGGCTGCCGCCGCGGCGGCGGCGGCGGCGGCGCGAGAGTTGACCCTCGACGACGACGCGGACCGCGTGATCGAAGAAGACGACGCGCTGCCCGCGGCGCCGACCGTGCACGCGGGACGAGACGAGATAGATGACGAGAACGTGGACGTCGTCGTCGACGCAGACGCCGAGGACGCGACGACGACGGTCGCGGCGGCGGCGGAAGAAGAAGAGAAGGAAGCGGACCCCGTGTCCGTCGCGATGCTGTGCGACGACGACAGCGGCTCCGACGCCGACGCCGACGTCCCCGTCGCGCTCCCCGTGGAGGAGGAGGAGGAGGACGGCGACGACCCGACGCCGCCGCCGCCGCCGCCGCCGCGACGTGTCGACGTCCGCGCAGAGTTGACCGCGCGCGCGACGGCGCCGCCGGGCGCCCTCGCGGCGGCGCGCGCGGCGACACGACGCGCGGAGCTCGAGAGGTTCGCGCGCGCGACGGACGCCAGCGGCGCCGGCGCCGGCGGCGGGTCGATCCCGGGCGCCGAAACCGGCGAGTCGGGCGGCGGAGAGGGATACTATCGACATTCTCCGGTCGTGTACGGCACCGCGGCGTACCGCGAGTTGTTCGCGCGGGCGGTGGCGCTCGGCGACGCGCGCGACGCCGCGGCGGCGGAGAAGGAGGACGAGGAGGACGAGGAGGACGACGACAGCGACGGCGACGGCGACGACGACGACGACGACGACGACGTGGACGCGTCCGTGGACGACGACCGCGATCCGTTCGAGAGGTATTCCGTGAAGACCGTCGCGGGGAAACCGGAGGAGGAGCACGGGTTGTGGGATTTAGACTAACTTAGACGTCACGAAGGTGATGTGTGTTCGCGACGGGACAGACGTATAAACGATTCAATTCGTTCCGCGCCCCTCTCTCGCTCACTTCACTCGCCGCTCCCGGCCTCTTCGTCCGCGACGCCGACTCTCAAACTCCCAAACGCCGCCAACGACGCGAGGTCCCTCGTCGCGTCCGCGCCGACGCACGTCAAGTACGTCGCCCTCCGCCGCCGCCGCCCCGTCGCCGCCGCGCCCTTCGCGGCTTGACATTTCGCCATCCGCGACAGAAACGTCACGCGCTCGACGGCTTCCCCGCCGCCGCGGTACCCTCTGGCGACGACCACCCCGGTGGACTCCACGAGCTCGCGGAGACGCGTGGACGACGCGACGAACGACGGCGCCGTCGCGGCCGCGGCCGCGGACGCGGCCGCGGACGCGGACGCGGACGGCGGCGTCTCGTCCTCGGAGATCGCCGGCGGCGGCGCCGACGCGAACGCGACCCTCGGCGCCAATGCCGACACCGCCCCCGCGGCGTCCCTCGCGAGCTCGATCCCGCCGCCGAGCGTGCTCCGCGGCTCGCCGACGAGGTCGGGCCCGCCCGTCTCCTCCGCGAGGGCGTCGTCGTCGTCGTCGTCGTCGTCGTCGTCGTCACCGCGCGCCCACGCGGCGACGCGGCGACGGCCTGGGCCCGTCGCCGTCGCCGCCGACGGCCGCCGGCCGAGCGCGTCCGCGGCGCTGAGGTTCGACGCGAGCGAGGAGAGCGCGTCGAGCTCGGAGAGCGATCGCGTCCAGCCCTCGGGAGGGGACGCGAAGTCGTCCGCTCGCGTCGACGGCGGTTCGAGTTCCGCGGCGGCGGCGGCGGCGGCGGCGGCGGCGGCAGCGGCGGCGTCGAGCTCCATCGGCGTCGGCGGCGGCGTCGGCTCGGGCGCCGCCGGCGTGTCCTCCGAATCCTCCGGCTCGCCCGCGACCTTGGCGTCGTCGTCCTCGCTAGACGTGGGCGCGTCCACGGCGGCGGCCGCGGCGTCGTCGGAAGCGGCGGGGACGGACGGCGCGAGACCTAAAGACCCGCGCTTGGACCCGGCGGCGGCGGCGGCTTCGATGCGCGCGGCGTTCGCCGCCGCGCGCGCCGCCTTCGCCGCCGCCGCCGCCGCCGCGCGCGCCGCCGCCCTCGCGATCGCGCCCGCCTCCGCGGCGACGTCCCGCGCCGCGTCTTCCGCGGCGACGCGGTCGGCGTGCGCCTGAAGCAGGCGCGTCGCTTTCGAAGGGAGCGACGCCGCGACTGCGGCGGCGGCGGCGTCCGAGGCGTACCGCGCCGCAGCCTCGGTCACGCCGAAAACGCCCTCATTTTGAGCGTTTTTACACCCACGACCACCAACCGTCCGTCGCTCGCCCGAGATGAACTGCGCCGCGTGCAGCGCGCGTCGAACGTCCCCCGAGGCGAACGACGCCTTCGCGCCGTGCGTCGACGCCGCCGAATCGCCGCCGCCCCGCGCCGCCGCCGCCACCGCGCGCGGCTCCACGAACCGCCCCTCCGCGGCCGAGACGAGCGACGCGTACGCCGCCGCGCTCGCGGCCGAGCTAGGTCGGAACCGCACGCGCGCGAGGGGCAGCGGGCCGGCCGCGGCTCCGCCCGCGGACGCGTGAGGCGCGTCCGTCAAGCTCGGAATCGACGGCGCGTTGGACGTGAGGACGACGGGACGCTTCGCCGCGTGAAGCAGCGTCGCGATCGCGGCGATGAAGCCGCGGTCCTCGCCGCGTAAGACGTCCACCTCCTCGAAGAGGATGAGCGTGTTCTTCGTCGCCGAGGCGGCGGGCGGGACGCTCGCTTTCGGCTCCGAGTCCTCGTTGACCGCCGCCGCCGCCGCCGCCGTGCGTTTTTTTCCACCTTTTTTCCCCGCGTCCGACACCTTGTCTTCTTTTTTCTCCGACACCTTCGCAGCCTGCTTTCCAAACAGCCCGGCTATTCCCCCACCCCCAACCCCACCCCCACCGCCGCCGCCGCCTTCAATCCCGGCGCCGGTCGCGTTCTCCGCCCCGACGAGCCGCCGGCTCTGCGTCGCCTCTTCGAACCGCGAGAGAATCTCCGCGCCGTTCCGCCTTTGGCTCGCGTTCACCTCCAAGACCGTGAACCCGAGCTCGGCCGCGGCGGCGTACACCGCCGAGGTCTTCCCCGAACCGACCGGCCCGGTGAGGAGCACGCCCGTGGACGGGACGCCGCGCGAGTCGAGCGCGGGTCGGTACCGCCGCGCCGCGACGGTCGCGTCGTCGTCGGACGCGTCCGACGCGTCTGAGGACGAATCATCGGTCGACACGTCAGACGCGTCCCGCCGCCGCCGCTTCGCCGCCGCCGCGGTCGCGGTCGCCTTCGACGTCGACTTCTTCGCGCGCTTCGCGCGATCGCGCGCGGTCGAAGTCGCGGGCGCGACGCCGCCGATGGACTCGGTCGAGATGTGCGACCGCCACCCCCGAAGCCACGCGTGCACGGCTTTCGCCGCGGCGGGGTCGCCGACGACGTCCGCGGCGCGCGTCGGACGGTACGCCTCCGCCCACAGGAGCCCGTGCGTTGACGCCGAGCCCGCGGCGGCGTCGGCGGCCGCGGGCGCGATGGGTTCCGCGGCGTTCGGGACGGCCGCCGCCGCCGCCGACGCCGCCGCCGCCGACGCCGCGCCTCTGCGTTTGATCTCTCCCAACCTGTTCCTCAGCTTCCCGCGCTCGGACGCGAGCGCGCCGGACACGATCGACGAGACGTTCCACCGTCCCTGCGACGCGAGGACGAACCGCGCGACGTCCGTCAGCCGCGCGTCCTCTTCCTCCTCCGCGGTCGCTTTCTCGTCGTCGTCGTCGTCGTCGTCGCGCACGTCGTCGTCGTCGTCGTCGCGCGCGTCCGCCGCGGCGTCCGCGACCGTCGGCGCCAGCAGAGGCGCGGGGCCGAACTCGGAGTCGCCTCTCCCGCGCCCCGTCCGCACCACCCTCGGCGGCGCGAGCATCTCATGTAACGCATCGATATGTGCCGTTTCGTCCGCCGTCGCGTCGCGATCGCGCCCGACGTGCACGGGCGGCAGCGCGCGTTCGATCGGCGCCGGCTTCGGCTCCAGGTACCCGAGCGGTATCCCCATCGCCGCCGCCGCGAGCGCGCCGCCGGCGTCTCGCACCGCGATCGCCTTCTCCTTCGCCATCGCGAAGAAGTGGTGCGTTTTCCTCCCCGCGCTGAGCGCCGCGTCCGCGGCTTTGACGGTTTCGATCTCGTGCTTCAGGGCTTCGGACGCGGCGAGGGACGCGGCGGCGGCGGCGGCGGCGGCGGTCTCCGCCGCCGCGCGCTTCCGCTCGTCCGGTTTCATGAAGAACGGGTTCGTGGACTTCGCGACGGAGACCGCCGGCGCGACCGCGACCGCCTTTGTCGGCTCCGTCGCCGCCGCCGCCGCCGTCTCCGCGGTCGGTTCCTCCGGCGTTTCTTCCTTCGGCGCTTCTTCTTCCGGCGGCGGCGGCGGCGGCGGCGGCGGCGGCTTCGCCTTCTTCTTCGCCGCCGCGAGCAGCAGCGGATGCACGCGCTTCGCGGAGTTGGGGGACATCGTGTTCGCCGCGGGCTCGGGCGCCGGCGCGGGCTCGGGCTCGGGCGCGGGCTCGGACGGCGGCTCGGTCGCGGCGACGGGAGGCTCTTCCGTCGTCCCGACAGCCTCCTCCTCGGACGCTGCGAGCGCGGCCGCGATCGCCGCGGCTTCCTCCTGTTCCCGCGCGAGTTGTACCTTCGAGATCCTCGCGCCGCGCTTGCGTTTCGCCGCCGCGGGAGGCGGAGGCGGCTGTTCGGCGAAGGGCGTTTCCACCGCCGCCGCCGCCGCCGCCGCCGCCGCCGCCGCCGCGCCGCCGCCTCCGAAGAACGACGCGATCCCAACCGTCGCCGCGGCGGCGCTGCCCTTCCTGGACGACGGGTGCTTAGGCGTTTTCGCCTTCGCCGCCGCGGCGCCTTTCTGCGGCTTCCCGAGGACGTCCACCAACGACGGCGTCGTCGTCGCCGTCGTCGTCGTCGTCGCGGCGGGATCCCCGCCGTCGTCCTCTTCTCCCCGAG